CACATACCTGAAAGTGGAGCAATAGAAAAAGAGAGAAATAAAAAAAAGTTGGGGTAGCCAATACTCATAGGCAAAATAGACTTTAAAATAAAGAATGTAGAAAGAGACAAAGAAGAACATTACATAGTTTTAAAGGGATTAATCCAAGAAGAGGATATGACAGTTGTAAATATCTATGCAACCAACATAGGAGCACTCAAGTATATAAAGCAAATATTAATGGATATAAAGGTAAAAATTAATAGTTGGATTAAAAATACAATAGTTGAATTTTAATACTACTTAACTCAATGGAGAGACCATCCAGACAGAAAACTGATAAGGAAATAATGGCTTTAAATGCTACATTAGGTCAGTTTGACTTAATAGACATTTATAGAGCACTTCATCCAAAAACCGAAGATTACACAATTTTTCAAGTCCACATGAAACATTTTCCAGGTTAGAAACATATTAAGCCACAAAATAAGCCTCAGTACATTCAAGAAGATTGAAATTATTTCAAGCATATTTGACCACAATGGCATGAAACTAGAAATCAACTATAGGAAGAAAACTGGAAAAAATATAAATATGTGGAGATTAAACAGCAGGCTTCTAGACAACAAATGGATCAAAGAGGATATCAAACAGGAAATAAAAAACTACCTTGAGACAAATGAAAACACAATTTTACAAATTTATGGAATGCAGCAAAAGCAGTTATTAGAGGGAAGTTCATAGCTATACAGGCTTCCCACAAGAAACAGGAAAAATCCCAAATAAACAATCTAAGTTTACACCTAAAGGGACTAGAAAAAAGAGGAGCAAACAAAACCCAAAGTAAGTAAAAGGAATGAATTAATAGAGTGGAAATAAGCAAAATAGAGAATAGAAAATATCCATGGGAATAAGAGCTGGTTCTTTGAAAGGATAAATAAGCCTGAAGCAAGACTCATGAGGGGAGGACTCAGGGGCGGGGGGCAGGGAGGGTGAGAGATCAACCAAAGGACTTGTATGCATGCATATAAGCACAACCCATGAACACAGCCAGTAAGGGGGGTCATGTGTTGGGAGGAGGGGGAGAATGAGCAGGCAGAGGTCAATGGGGAAAAAAAGGATTCATATGTAATACTTTAAACAATAAAGAATTAAAAAAAATAATTGTAATAAAAATGATTTCACTGATATGTGGAATCTAATAAACAAAATAGAAACAGACTCATAGATACAGAGAACAGAGTGACAGCTGTCAGAGGGTAGAGAAGTAGGGGGACTGGGTGATTACCAGAGGGGAAGGGTGGTGGGAGCAGGTAGAAGAAGGTAAAGGGGTGATAAATGGTGATGAAAGGAGACTAGACTTTGGGTGGTCTAGGTGTAGCGCTTTCCAGGGATTGTGCTGCTGCCCTCTCTGATCCTATTTTTCACTAAACGCTGAAGGGCTTGTCCTCTGGATTCTATAATGGGATTGGTAAGAAACACATGACAAATTCAGTGCTACATATCCATTCCTAAGCCTTGAATTTTTAACTTATTCTTTTTTTAAAAAAGGTTCTTTATTGTTAAAAGTATCACATATGTCCCCCTTTCCCCCCCATTGATCCCCTCCAGCTTGCCCCCGACACCCCAAATCCCAGGCCTTCAGCACCCTATTGTCTGTGTCCATGAGTTATGTATATATGCATACAATGTCTTTGGTTGATTACCTCACACCCACTCACCCTTCCCCCAACTTTCCTCTGAGATTCTGCACTCTGTTCCCTGCTTCATGTCTCTGTATTATATCAAAGAAGTTGTGTCATTTCAGTTCCATTAAACATAATCCCCCACTGTTCTTGTTTTATGCAACCAAATGAGCAAACTATTAGTGTTTCCAACTCTCTCACGCAAGCATGTTGAATCCAGAACCTTGAGTGGGTATACCTGTATCATTACATTTGTGACCTTCTCTCTCTGGACCATCGCCCTCAGAATATATTCACACATGTATTTCATGTCCTTCTGTCAATATTATTCGGCTTTGTAATCCCACTTTCTGGGCATTGGTCCCTGGAAAATAGCTTGAGATATAGATAATAACACCTTCCAGTATTACTCATAATTGAAGACACACAACAACTTAACAGGTAGCTCAAGTAATTCACATCTGACCTAATTCCAGGCCTGACATTGACATTAAATGTGTGTTTTTTTTAAAGGATTTTAAATTAGTGGGGCAAATGTATATGCTAAAATGTTAAATGAAAAAAAGATACTGTATGTGTGTCTATGCATAATGTGATCACAATTCAAAATATGTGTGACAAAAGAGAAGCTTTCTAATTCCTGTAGCATGAAAACAGCCGATTAGTTCGGAATCTCTCCACATCTATTTCTAAAATCCATAGAAAGAAAGTAAGAGTAAACATCTAGAAACATTTTAATAAATGTTCCCAAGAAGGTATATACTAGAGCAGGGGTGGGGAACATCTGGTCTGTGGGCTGTATAAGGCCTGTGAAATCATTTGGTCTGGCCCTGCCAAGGCATTAGGGTGAGTTTGACCAAATATAGCAGGCAAATTTTTAAGTTGATAATTTTGTATGGCTTGAATGATATTATAAATATCCAAATGGCCCTTAGCAGAGGAAAGGTTCTCCACCCCTATACTAGAACATTCAGAACATCATTGTTTATAATAGTAAAAAATGGTACCAAACTCAACTTCTATCAACAGAATAGATTAATAATTGCAATGTATTCAATCAATGGAAATTTATAAAACAGTGGAAATGAATAAAATAGAGTTATAGCTGTGAGTGTAGTTGAAATGTAATATGGACCCTCAAAAAAACCTATATTATGGAAGAATACTGTATAATAGTTTTTATATAAATTTTAAAACATGCACACAATTTTGTATATTTTTGGAGTGCATTAAAAATTACATGGGAAATATAAACATCAAATGAGAGGGAGAATATGACTAGGACTAAGAATAGAGGTGGCTCTATTGCATGTAAAAATATTTTATCTCTGTGATATCATAGAAAGATAATTGGTCTTTGTCTCCAGTCCCTGGCATGGAGCTCCTAAATCCCTAGTAGTTCCCTGAGTGACAGTTTGACAGGAGTGTCTTTTGCTTTAATAAGGAGACTCTTGGCAGGTTCCTACCTAACTTCAGGATGGAGGCTGGTCATCAGAAAGACCAAACCTTGATCAGAAGCCTGGAACTATCAGCCCCACACCCCAAACTCCAGGGAGGTGAGATGGGTTGGAGATTGAGTTAATAACCGATCATGCCTATGTGATGAAACCTCCATAAAACCCCTAACCGATGGGGTTTAGATAACTATGAGTTGGTGACCATATCTCATGTGCTGGGAGAGGGGCACACCCTGCTCCAGGGGGACAAACCTCCTGCACTGTGACATTTCTAGACCTCTCCCCAAGTCCCTTTCGTCTGGCTGTTCCCACCTCTGTGTATCAGATAGCCTTTATCATCCTATGTAATAAAGAGCAAATATGTTAATTAGACTGAAGAGCAGAACAACCATCTGGACAAAACAACCATCTGGACAACCTTCCGGATGACCTTCCAGATGAAGCTGGGGCTGTGAGGGCCGACCGAGGCAGGCAGGGCTGCGAGGGCCGAGCCCCTTGCACGAATTTTATGCATCGGGCCTCTAGTAAACTGATAAATCTTAAGGCCATTCCTGAGTTGTGTGAGCCATTCTAGCAAATTATCAAACCCGAGGAGGGGAATGTCAGATTTATAGCCAGCTGGTCAGAAGTACAGATGGTTCAGGACTTGAGATTGGCATCTGAATTTGGGGCAGTTTGGTGAGACTGAGCCCTTTAACCCGTGGATCTGATGCTAACTCCTGGTAGATACTGTCAGAATTGGATTGAATTGTAAGGACACCAACTGGTATCTGACAAAGCTGGAGAACTGGTTGGTATGGAAAACACCCACATAACTGACTTCAGAGGTGTTATGAATAAAAGCAACCCTGAATCTCTTAAGCTAGCTAAGAATGGGATTTGGGCTATTTACCGGATTATTCTTTATACCTTTTATATGTTTGAAATATTTCTTCAAATGCTCTTTAAACAGTGTGGCTGGGGCATGGTATCTGATGTATGAAATAGTGCAGCACGGATTCAGAGGTGAGCAGAGTCCAGCAAGCTCACAGGTTTGTTGGCATGGAAAGGATCTGGGCTTTTACCCCAAGGCTAATGGGCAGTCATTCAGGGTTGTGGAGCAGTCTGACATTTTGCAAAGTGAATTCTAGGCACCTTGTGAAGAATGAATGGAGGGGGCATACGTGAAAGTTGGGAGACCACTTATGTATGGCCTTCCTGGGGGAGATAATTGTTGGGGTCCAACCCCAACAGGTCCAGGGGTTCCTCATAGCTGTGGACGGAGTCGGTGAAGAAGGAATGACACAGAGACAGCCTTCAGTTGATCAGCAGCCTAGCCAGGATCTCTAGCCAGGATCTCCAGCCAAGTTCTGGGTCAGGATCTCCAGCGAAGTTCTGGTCAGAATCTTTAGCCATGTTCTCTTGCTAGGTTCTCCAGCCAGGTTCTCCAGCCAGGTTCGATCACTAGGTTCTCTAGCCAGGTTCT